GGGTTTCAGCATTCCTTGTGTCAAGCCACTCTTGAACAAGACACAGCGTCAGAAGCGTCTCACCTGGGCTAAAGACAAAAAGGACTGGACTGCTGCTGAGTGGTCCAAAGTTATGTTCTCTGATGAAAGTAAACCAATTTTATGGAGATGCAGATTTCATTTTCCAACAGGACTTGGCACCTGCACACAGTGCCAAAGCTACCAGTACTTGGTTTAAGGACCATGGTATCCCTGTTCTTAATTGGCCAGCACTGAACTCGCCTGACCTTAACCCTATAGAAAATCTATGGGGTATTGTGAAGAGGAAGATGCGATACGCCAGACCCAACAATGCAGAAGAGCTGAAGGCCACTATCAGAGCAACCTGGGCTCTCATAACACCTGAGCAGTGCCACTGACTGATCGACTCCATGCCACGCCGCATTGCTGCAGTAATTCAGGCAAAAGGAGCCCCAACTAAGTATTGAGTGCTGTACATGCTCATACTTTTCATGTTCATACTTTTCAGTTAGCCAGCATTTCTAAAATTCCTTTTTTTGTATTGGTCTTAAGTAATATTCAAATTTTCAGTGATACTGAATTTGAGATTTTTATTAGTTGTCAGTTTTAATCATCACAATTAAATGAAATAAACATTTGAAATACGTCAGTCTGTGTGTAATGAATATGATATATTAACTCAAAATGGAGTTAAAATAAATGTCAACACCATGCGTGAAAGGGCCCTTTTGAGTTGTTTTCAGGGGGCACCGAATTTCTAACAGCGCCCCTGAGCCTACCTATTGCTGCCTTGATGTGAGAGTGTGAGTGACAGGTTCAGTCCTCCACCCTTCACTGTGACACCACACTCTCTCTCTCACGCACACACACACACACACACACACACACACACACACACACACAGAGTGGGTGTTCACTCAGTTAGAAGACAGTGGGATGTCATTAACTCTGTGAGAGGAGCCTTTAAAGTAATTAACAGTGAGGAGATGGGGGGGTTGGCGGGGTTGCTGGGGTGGCAATGAGTGGTGGACTAAATCATCTCCCAACCCCTCCGCAACAGTCATACACACAAACACCCCCCCCCCCTCTCCCAACCCCTGTTGAGAAATTGTCTTTAATTAAAAATCCCCCATCCGACACACACAGTACACAATTGCCTCTCCAGGTTTCGTGTGCTCCAGTAAGAACATGCAGGCTTGATTAGTATTAATCCTTATCTGCAGAATGGACAGCTCCTCAATTGTGTTTTTTCCTCAGCTGGCTAATTTCATGAAGAGCATAATTACCACATTTTCAATTTTGGCCCTCTGCAGAGTTATGAAGCTGACAGTCTATCTCTGCACTGCAGCTGAGAGGCTTGGGGTTTGTGTGCGTGTGAGTGAGTGAGTGTGTATCCATGTATCCCAGAGTGCTTGTGGACGTGTGATTGTGTTTTTGTGACTAAAATGAGAAGAGAATTAGTGGGTTATGCGGGTGACTAATACAAGAGATAATTTCACACCAAACCCAAATTGGAAAAGCAGCCGGAATCATGACAACTGTTTAAGCCCCACAGTAGACAGCAACTCTTGTGAAAATAGGTTGGTTTTAGTAATACAATAATGCTAATAATGGCAAGTGAAAATATTAAGATAATGTGGGCGCAAAGATTTTGGTGCCTGGTCCAGAATGTGTTCAGTAACAGTGTGATATCCAGTAATCTGATTTTACTTGCTGTCTATCTGGTGTGTGTTCCGACAGTGGGAGGATGAAAGGCATGTCAGCTCTGATTAAAGCTGCCAAACTGGCACAGTTTGAGAAAATGTGAGTGTGTGTATTCGTGCCTGCGCTTTGGTCACTCTCCAGTAGGGAGATCAGAGCTGCCCTAAGGCAGTGGCCATGTTCCCATCCTCCCCAGCTCCTCCTTTCATCTCCCTTCATATCTTTCTCTTCCTCCTCTTCCTCTCAGCGGTGTGACTGTTTCCCGCCTGATATCTCCACTCTCACTTCTCACTCAAACGCTCAGTAAACAACCACCGTGCATATCTATTCACTTACGTGCGAGAGACTGCCTTTTCAGCAAAAGCAGCTTGTGCATATGTTCGGATGCAGGCGGCTCATCAGCGATGCTCTCTCAGCTTTGATAATAACTTGGGGCCCCGAGGCGCTCTGGCCCCTGATACTTTGTCACACTCCTCCAGCTCTGCAAACACAGGCCACCATTGCCAGTAAAGCGTCTCTGCCTTCACTGATAATGAATCTGTGTCCTCAAAGATAGGCTAGTGTGGACGGATGCCAGATTCCCTTGAGGTGTTCAGCACTGCATGACTTCTGACACCAACAGGACAGCAGCTTAGGTCCTGAGCGCACATTCACACTGACTAATGGACAGTCATTAATTTAGACTTGATTAAATGAAAATGTAATGATACCCAAGGGGAAAGTTAGTAATCACAGCGGCAGAGAATAAGGTACTGGAAAGAATGAGATAAATAGAGGGTGTCTAAAAGTCAAGTATGTTTTGGTGAATATATAGTAATATAGTGACTGAAAATGTTTCTGACACCCTACGCGGAGCAGTGAAGATCATAAAAATTATTCTTTATGCTAAATAACCAAACAGTGATGACAACCCAGCAAATAAACTAATAAAGAAATAGCACTGCAGCATCCATATCCATTAGTTTGCATCCATTAGTTTTAAATGCCCCCCCCCTTCAAGAAGACAGAGTTTCTTCTGACCATAAATCTACCTCTTAAAAGCCTAATGTGACGCGGAGACACATATTTAGCTAACAGTTTAGCGCAGCAATTAGCGTTTGTGAGCTCTCTCCCTCTGCCAAGTGCCAGCCGCCCAACATCTGTTCCTCCACTGCCGCCGGGGCCAGTGCTTCCACCCTCGTCCCTCCCTCCTCCACCAGCCATCTTTGCCTCTCCGCGGGTGGCAGAACATTTATCAGGTCTGGAGTGAAGTGATAGGTGGACGTTTAAAGATGAAAGAAAAAAAAGCGACAGGTCTGTTGCCCCCCCCAGAGCTGTTTTGAGTGTTAATTTGAGTCTTTCAAGAGGGAGGTCCTCCGGTCACCTTGACCCCGCTCCCCGCTCCCCCAGCAGCTACAATTAAATCACCAGGAGCATGTCGGGCCACCCAGCCCCATCTGCGGACGTGTGTCATCAGCATATTCTCAGCATATTCGCCCTGATGGGAAGCTTCTGCACTTGCCTCTGTATATTGGATTTATTTCTCGGTCCAGCAGTGATGGATTTTCCATTTGCCTGTTTTGTACGGGGGTGCACCATTGAGAGAAGCAGCACATCAAGACTGTTGCATCTTCTGTCACTCCCCGTCGCACACCGTTTGTTCAATGCCATTTTATAATTTTGCTCTCCCTGGCAAGCCATGCTTCTGCATATTGTGGGGGCCCATTTAACTCTGATAAGACATTGTTCAGGCAGTACAGAGGGGAAAGTCTTTACAGCGTGCAGACAGTGTCGACACCACCCCACCCCCCATTCTCTCATTTCCTGTTCTCTTTTTCCCTTTTTCGCTTCCTTTCTTTATTATTTTGCCTATAGCTCCTCTGTGGGCAAATTGTCATTTCAGAGTCCCTGCCCCAACAGGAAGGGAGGGTGAGGGGAGTGAGGTGAGGTGAGGTGGAGGGGATTATGACAGAAACAGGATGAAGGGAGAGAGAAAGGGGAAGGCGGTAGAAAATAAAGTTGCTCTTATCAGAACTTGCCAGGAGCAATGCGCACACAAAGCTGTTTGGGAATCCAATTTAGTCTTTGCTGTTAGTTTAAGTGATATCAGTGCAATTAGCTGTCACAGGTCAGAGTGTGAGCCGGGCGCGTTAAGTGATTTCCTGAAATCCCGCTAGTGGAAGCGTGAGGGGACGCCAAGTCTCCAAAAAGGAAAAGGAAAAATAAAGAACTTCCCTAACTCCACAAATGGACACTTCTCTATACAGCCTATTAATAAATGCCAGCCGCCCCTTGGCTCTTTTGTTTTGCTCTTGTGAGCTGCTCACTCTGGATTTAAATGGATTTTCTTCCTCTATAACTGTCCACAAGGGTGACTTTGAGGCGTCATAGTCTTATTGGAGCCTCATGTAACTCAATTGTGCTCATTTGTTAGTTTTTTGGAGCTGCAGAGAATGACCACATATTGGGTGGGCATACATTAATTACAAGAGCAATTAGACAGAATGTGCTGTGTTGGGAATATGATCTATTTTAAAAACGTCCGGAATGAGTTTCTGCTGCTGTGTTCTGTCTATATAATAGTTTGTTTTCAATATCACATATGTAACTCTAACGTCAGAGTAGAAATTACCCAAGGTGACCAAACAGAGGGAAAGCCCAGCTCTCCTGTAGCATACATAATCTTCTGAATGGACTGCAGCTTCCCTTGACTAAGCAGTATTCCAGAGGTGATCTTTGCAACTTAAAGTAGCTAGTTTAACTTTCAGGACTGCCTGGGAACATTGGTAAGAGAGAAGTTCTGTGCATGTAATTACAGCAGAACAAACCAAGTACTGTTATAGAAATGGATCACACAGAGGAGAGGAAATCATGTGACATTACAGTGACTTAGGGATGTTCTGAAAAAAAAAAGAGGAGAAGACATATTATAATAAAAAAAATGAAATAAAACATTTTGAAAGTAAAAATATAAAATAAAATTAAAACAGTAAATACTAACCTAAGTCAATAATATTACAATCCTTGTAACCTGATTTGTGTTCCATTTATATAACAGAACTTGGTCTGTTCTAATAGAGTTGTGAAGTGTGAGAGGCCGCTGGTTCCATTAAAGTTTCTCCCCATTCTCTGTTCCCATTACACACTCACAGCCACAGCTTTTGTTTCATAGACTTAACCTAATTTACACACACACACACACACACACACACACACACACATCATCATCATCATCATCATTTATTCTCCACCTGTATTTCACCTGAATGACTGTGATTAACAGTGAGCTCACTACTTACTTACTTTTTTCCGGTCTCTAGGGGAGATCTGTGCATTCAACATCCACGGACTGGATGCTCCGTTTGAAGCAGTGGTGCTGAACGGTACGTCGGGTGAGGGCCAGATGAGGGCCCGTGGCCTGGTGGACTGCGAGCTGCAAAAGGAATACACCTTCATCATTCAGGCTCACGACTGCGGTTCTGGCCCCAGAGGCACAGAGGGCAAAAAGTCCCACAAGTGAGTAAGACAAACAGCAGCAGCAATGAAAACAACAACAGAAGTCTGACAGAGGATGTAAGTGCATGAACAGGACATACGTTTACGCCGATTTCACACAGCCATTTCTAGGCAAAGAGTGGGATTTCTAGGTTTGACTTAAAGTGAAAAGCAAAGACCACTAAGGACGAGGGAACAGAAATTCCAGTAAACAAGATTTTTCATAATTCATATAAAATGCTTGGGCTAAATGATGTAAAACTATAAGTACTTATTGTATAATTCATGATCCATTTAAACAATGGCTAAAGTCCAATCAAATTTTCAGCTATGCCAGAAAACAGTGGTGGTGGAAAGAATGCTGGCTGGCAGTGGCTGTTTGGGGCTTACCTCAAGTACTGGCACAAGCACAAGTGTTGAAGATGTTCTCATTCTAGTCCTATGCATGGTCCAATGAAAACAATTTGGGGGTAGTCACTTAACTCAGTGGTTCTTAACCAAAGGGCGAGTAGACAATCAAGTGCAGGTTCTTTAGAACAGTCCAATAGCAGCTCTGCAAATTGCCCCACAGAGAAAATTGTAATGGTTGTAAAGTTATGCCTACAATGTAATGAAAGATAGAAAATGGTGGTACTACTATTAGCAGTGGTGGAAAGTAACTAAGTATATCAACTCATCTACAATTGTGAGGTACTTTATTTGAGTATTTCAATTTTCTATTTATGTAATAAATTTGCAAATTCAGATTAATAATACAAACTACAGCCAACAAATTATAATGTATTTTGAAAGATTAAAATGCAAAATCAGAAAATTGCATGTTTAAAGCTCTGAGCTCTGAGATTAAGACACAGGTATGTTTTTAGCAACTCATCTTCTCTCATCTCAACTGTAAAGCTGAAACTATGGAAGTATAAAAGTGAGGGAGACAAAAAACACGTTTGAAAAGTGAGGATGCATTTATATTTGTCACCACATGTGACAGTCAGGCAAGGATGCCTTTCACGTTCTTGTTTTCACACAAAAAGCTTGAAATAAAAGCTCTTCTAGTTAAATATTAGTCAGGTAACACTGGCATTATTTCTCTTTCTCCTCCTGCCATACATGACTATACAGCTTGATCCCAGACTGCTCTGAGAAGCAGCCATGCCAGCATAGATACATTACCCACCTCCACTTCCACAAGCACCAGCAGACTACTTTACAAAGGTCAACTGATAGAAAACAATTTGTCACACTTGTTGACTCTCCTGAAAGCAGCTTCTGTCTGAGAAAAGAAAACCAACTTCCTCTGTCCACTGTATGCTGTACATCTCCCCTCGCTGTCTTATAGCTCAACCCCCCTCACCTCGGCCAACAATGGAGCCAGGCACAGAAATCTATCATCTTGTCTAGCTTATAGACTCTCTCAAACACACACACACACACACACACACACACACACACACACACACACACACACACACACACACACACTGATATATACTGTATACACACTAAACCTGGAATTATAGCAGCAGGGGTTTTCAAGCCTCGGTGAAAGTTTTAAATCAGTAGAGCGTAACTTGTATTTTCTGTATGTTGTTTGCTGTCTTTTCTGTGTGTGTGTGTGTGTGTATGTGTGACTTTGTGTGTACAAGGCAAAAGGGTGATGGATTTGTGCTACTATTTCCATGCTTTTGATCATGTTTTATATCCCTTTTAAGCACCCAGGCATTCTGTTATGTCACACTATTACTTTCTATCAACATAACTCACTCCCCCGCTGTGACGCAGACCCAGTTTGGCTGGCACAGACAGGCCGAGGCTGGAGGGGAAGTGAATTTGGGGACGCTTTAAATGGCCTGTCCTTTCGCTGGCAACTCTCAAAGGATGAGGCTGGCCTTTCGCCGCACCACTCGCTTGCTCGCTCCGATTTAGAAAGAAGCGAACAGGGGAGAAGAAGAATCTCCGCCTAAGGCTGTGCACAAATTACACATGACACGTCAACGGCAGAGAAGGAAAGCAGTCAAGAAAATTAGCCGTTAAAGAGGACAGAGGAGAGGATCAGGAGTGACACAGGATGAGTTTCAACTTCACTCTATCCTCTATTCTTCCCTGCTCTGCTTACCACTAGCTGCTGCCCTACTTCTTATTCCTTTATATATATTTTTTCCCTGACTGGTCTGCAGCTCAGCTAGCTCCTGCTGTCTGACTCCGTCCTTCTTTCTGTCAGTCCCTCTGTCTCTGTTACAGACTCTAGTGTTGGAATATTTCATCAGACTGCCTCTGCACTCACAAATGGATGCACTCTCTGCCATGGCTGTACAAATCTGTCTCCCAGTGTGGCTGAAATGCTTTTTTTTTGCACAAAAATTAAATGTTGTCATTTCAAAATGTCATGTCAAACTTTGAATATATGCATCTTCCTGCACAGTCATTGTTCTTTTTCCGAACTCTTGGTGACTTTGTCAGAAACCACAGCAATAGACGGCTTTATAATCACTGAAATTAATAATGACTGCCCTTTTCTGAGTCAGAGCATCAATATAACAGCGTACAGATTTGTTCTGAATCACTTTGCTTCTCTCTGCCCTCTGAGATATTTTACTTTGCTGCTGTGGAAGCTTTAGTCACTTGTCAGCAAAGTGCAAAGCTCGAATGAATTCACCTTAAACTCCTTGAGACTGTTTCTGCTCAGGTCAGCTTTAAATGAAACACGAATTAATCTGCAGTACTGTAGGGCTGACCTCTGCCAAATGATCAATTTGTACAGAACTAAGTGTTCTCAGCCTTTGTCATGAAGAGCCATAAATGTGATAAATGTCCATTTTGTGTCTATCTATTGATATAACACAATAGTGATTCAGCCTAGGCATCAATGAAAAAGGTTTAATTGGTGTCAAGTGCTGTTGGTCTGAGTTATCACATCCTAATTAAACTCAAACTTCATTAATGTCAGCAGAGTCTGTAAGTAAAGGACTTTGAAAGGTACACAGGCAACATGATATAGTTGTCTGTTCTTTGTGTATGCCTAGGTTATGCTAACTTTACCGGAATGGTTAAAGGTTAAAATATAGTAAGGATTGCAACCCATTTGAATAAAAAGCACAGACCTACCAGTGAGTCAGTCAGTACAAACCAGGGTTATGAATTAATTAAAGGGGCCACATGTAGTTTTCAGTAGTTTTCAGTGGCTTCTAGTGGTGAGGTTTCAGATTGCTACCACTTAGAGCCCTGCATTTCAGCCGGAGCCGGGGCCCGACTTATTTACGCCCCTGGGGCCGGGCATCAGGGCGATACATATAAGGCTTCTCCTTTTTATGTTTTAGACAGTCATCAATTAAAACAAAATATGAGTAGCTGGAGATAAAACACAGAAAAAAAGACAATTTCTACACTGACACATAAAGACACAGTCTGCTGGCGGTGTGTGCGTACGTGCACACACAGCGGCATGCTGATGTTGTGTCATATGTAATGGTCTTTTTCTATGCTGCTGGTTCCGGAAAACCAGATGGCTAAGTGAATGCACACATTATTATATTATACACTACTTCATTCAGTAGGCTATATGAGTGAAAGCGGCATTTTGTCAGATATTTTTTATGTGTTTCTTGTGGGATCGACTATCTGTATGAAAGCGGCTTTGCTTCTGGCTGTAATGTTAGGAGGCTGATCGTTTTGCGTTTGGGATTGGATTTTGGGATTGGCCATGATGTTCTATGGTGAAGCCTTGATTTTTGATGCATAGCCAGGTGTAAGGTAAAACAACCTGCATGTTTTTATTATTAGCCTATTTGTTTAGAATGTAGGTTTATAGTCCGTTTGTATTTCTGCACACAGATTCGAGCAGCAGCAGCAGCAGCAGCAGCAGCAGCTGTCCCTCAGCCTGTCAAAAATGCCTTTTTACTGTGGTAGTGATATTAGCCTACACTAGGGATGGGTATCACTCATAGACTGTATATAAAAATGGCGTATTATCCATGACGTCACCCGTTGGTTTCTGAAGAGTAGTTTTGAAGCACAAATCTTGGCACTGCGCGTCACTCCCGGATAACCATAAATGGGCAAAGAGGCAGATCGTGGGTGGAGCTGAGGTGACGTGTTGCTGAAACCACTCCCGCCTTGCTCAAGGTAAGACACCGGAATATTTTAAAATTACTCACATATCTGTTATTGACATTATACTTAACAAGGTTTTAAATGCTTTATAATATATAAATGTGGCAATGTTATTTTGCAACATTAATGTTAGATTTTGTTGAGACCAACGTTAACAGTTAACTATGAATCAGTTATTAATTACATTAACGTTTACTTACAGCTCAAACTAACAATTTTAACATAACATTAGTTATGAGTCGTTTATTTGGACGTCACCTGATTGTGTTATTTGTAATAAACATAATAAGTTAGCGGTAGAGTCCTTAGTCACATGATGGAAGCTGTATAACTTGTAAAACGTTGGCTCTTATCACGTTAATTAATTCCCCACACCACTATTTTGAGTAACGTTGCTGCTGACGGCAGGGCTGTGTGAGATTATTGTCTGGAATAGGACACTTGAGAGAGAAAGGTACTTTTTATATTTGTCACAAGATTTTAGTTGAGGATCTGACGGCTCCACGTCTGCTACTCAAAGCTTAAACTGTAAGTAATGTTACTAGGACAACTTGGCTACAGGACACTTGACAGCTGATATAAAATTGTTAAAGACTGTCTCCCTTTTTCCATTTCTCCCACTTATGTGACATAATAGTGCTGTCAAAATTAAAACACTGAGGCATCTTTTAGAAGAGCATCTCAAAAAATTTGAATACTGAGGAAAAGAAGCACCAGAACCAGACTGAGAGGTTACAGGCTTCAGAAACCTTTGCAGGTGTTTTGAGTTAATTAGCTGATTAGAGAGCTCTTCTCCAGTTGACATTTCTGTATAATTTATAATACAGAAATGTATTTATTCTAAAATGTTTATACATTTTGAGATACTAGAGTTTTTATTTCCATGAGCTGTAAACCGTAATCATCAAGATGAAAAC